TTGTGCCAGCTCAGGCTACTTACTGTCTCATAAAAGGAAATACTTAGAGGAGGAATTGATTATGGTCACATTTCACAATTGGGAAAATACAGTGTGTCAGAGTTAGATGAACAACAAATAATGCCGTATTTTTGTTCCAAAGATTTCGAAACAAAAACGATGGATCAAGTGATTTTTTTATCCATCTATAAGAATTACGGTTTAGATTTTTCATCGGCATAAAACGAGTTTATTTCCTTTACTTGTTAAATCCTTTAATCATAACTTTATGAAAAGCGTTTTTAGCAATGGATGTGTTACTTAATGATTGTATAATGTATTCTCCTTGATATACTGTCAATACTCCTAAACAGAAAAGCAAGAGAACGTCATTTTGAATGACTTCTTAAAGCTGCTAACTTAATGAAAGTAATCTTCATAACAGCATTCCGTGTACCTCGCTCCCTAACTTTGATTGAGTTCATTATCCATGCTGAGCACAAATCATGATTGATCATTAAAGCGCTGGGAGCTTGAATCCATTTTTTTTTTGGATTTGGTTTCTTTTTTAAGCTCCAGGTGAAGCGGGGCCAGCAGCAAGTTGGGCTGTTTGTCAGCCTTCAGGTCTATCACGGTGCATCTGATCTCGCCATCAAAGAGGGAAGCATCACCCTCTGCGTCTTGCTCTCAGCGTCGAGGGCCTCCACCGTATTTCTCAGATTTGGCTTCTCGGAATTGCCTCTACCTAACATGACCTCTTGGCCGCGATACAAAGATTGAATTTTCAGGGCCGGCAGCAGATAATCAGTAAATCTCAAGTCGCTGCATCTCTGCCAAGTTCACAATCTTTTCCATCTTCATATTACACTCTCTCTAGTGAATCTCCTGTTTTCAGTCTAATTCTTCTCCCGTCTAATTGCCTCTGTGGTTGCAGGAATATCTTTAAGTTTATTTCCCGTCAATCCGTTGGGGACTTGGAGTTTAATCACAGTGGAATGGAGCATCAGCTAAATGCCCAAAATGTAAAATGTCAGAGTGAATTTCCAGAGCGAGGGGTGAGGAGGGTTGAAGCAGTTTTTCACAAAGTCCCAGTGGATTGGGAAGTGGGTCGGGTGTTTAGACATTTTGCAGGGGGAGGCATTGCTAAACGTCCACAGCTAAAGTAGGTCATGGTTAACCTCCTTGATACATCTCACATATAACTAGAAGAGAGATGGAGAAAATGATAAAAACATGCATTATTGAAGGTATTGTATTGACTGTATTGTGCGCTAGTATTCATCTTGATGAAGTAAAGGTCTGACAAAGCCTTCCTTTATAAATGAAACATTACGATATAACTCTTTGGTTTATTGCGGGACTTTCTCAGAATGTGCGTCACGTTACATGAAGTTTAAATATATATTTTTCTTTACCCATTTTCCCACATGAGCAATCAGCCATTATTAAATATATGTTACAAACACCCACCGTCTCCCAGAAAAAGATGACCTCGCTTTACGCACTTTGGCTATAGTTGCCCAATGCTGTGTTTCTTTCTGGATCATTCTATCCAACAAACGTTATTAGGACAAACAATGTGGCCTGTTCTTCTCATGTTTGACATTTCCAAGCGTGAAATGTCTCCCAACACAAAGAGCCTTCTCTCTTTATTGCCTGGATATGTGCCTGTGGGTGGAAGCCCTATTGTATGTCCTTGCACAATTGCTCGTGTAGGCTCTGCACTCACTGACTTTGTCCGCTTTAGTGAACTCTGAGCTTGCGACTGAGTCAGAAGATTGATTTCTCCGCTTTATATCCTTCATATCCGCCATACTGCCCACCTTTGGCACACTGCGCTATAGGCAACCAGCCTGTATTGTCACCTCAATTCAGCGCCGTGATTGATTTGAGCTCTTAACGGCTGTATTTACACCACAGCACTGTATTTGCAGTTCACATGGCTCGCAGCTCTTTGACACACAGTGTAATATCTGAATGGAGGCGTTATCAATGGAGCTGCTGAGGTGTTGCGGCTTGCCTTGGCCGAATAGAACAAAGACGTCAGGCTTTAGTCATGCTTTTTGTATTTGAGCAATGTCGTTTTCAGAAAAGCATCAGGCAACAACAAAATGTAAGAATGCAATTAAAATCCTATAGAAAGATCATTGTGGGATCAAACAAAGCAACAGTTCCCAGCTTCTCAAATGTGTGATATTTCATGCTTTTTTACGCATGTGATTGACTTGTTTTTGTTTCAAGAATGTTGGCCAATTGGACTGTGGGAAAATATGCTAGAAATGTCCTCAAATATTTTGACATAGTAAAACGATTAATAGACTTTTGGACAAAATAATCTGCAGATTAATTCCCAAAAAGTAATCATAAGTTGCAACCCTATTTGAAACAATTGCTTGTATTATATTATAAACCAAACCTTTTCTAGTGACCTTCCAGGAACTAAAGGCTCGAAATAAGTCAACAAATCTAATCTTATGGCCTCTTTTGATTCTTTATTATGGTTGTATTTATCCTACTCCAGTTCTATAGCAACACAACAGTGGGGTATTTGTTTCATTTGGGTACTGGAAACTCATTATTTTGAGTTGGTTGTCTTGAAGTTCACGCAGGAACTTCCTGTGGCATGCATTGTAAATCACTCCAGTCAAATGGAAATGCGCATGCAGAGCACCTGAACGCATCGTTTCCGCCGGGATCAGCGCCAGCATGGCTTATGTTGTTACGCCAGAAGTGGCTAATGAGCTAACCTTCCGCTTTACCTCCGCATACCTCTCTGTAATTATCGCCTTCAGCTCCCACGAGAGCCAGCGGTGCTTTCATCCCCATCCAGCAGGAACAGAAACAATAGAAAAACCAGGCGCCATACAATGGACACTTAAACGGCCCGATGGGGTGGATGAATTTACTAAACAGCGGGTGATGTTGCTGCTTATTTTGAGTCAAAGGATACATCATGTCGTAGCATTATAACACAGCTTAGAAAATAAACCATCCGTACAGTTTGGGATATTCAAAGCACTTGATTTAAATACGGTAGGTATTGTTTGCTTTATTTTCTTAAGTTTCCTGTAGCCATTTAATGGTTCCGATTGGAGGAGCTACCTTGGTTACCAACATCTCCTCATCTTATCTCTACTTCAGGTTTCAGTGTCGAGCTCATGGGCATTTTAGCTGCAGCTTATGGTGAAAAAACAAATTAACTTTCCATTTCTTTGCTTTGTTTTTGCACAGCCTAATCAGCAATCTAACTCAGAATCATTGTTTACCTTCATTTGGTGGCGTCAGTTGTAAAGAAACTTTTTGATTGAATAGTCCAAGGCTTCCAGTCCATAACTCTTCAACATGCTTTGAATAACTTCAAAGTCTCTCCCTTTAATTTATCAAAATGACGGATGGCCTTCAGATTCTTCAGTCTTTTAAAAGACTTTAGTCAATGGCGGGAACATTTCAGTTCTGTCTGTTTCTGTGAAATAGTTTGGGACTTCATGTGGAATGGATTTTACGGGTAAAAAGCTGCAAAGAGGCAGTGACCTCACCTGCCAGTGAAGTGGTCGCTCTCCTCCAGCTGCAGCTGTTATTGAAGAGAGACCTGCAGTGCTTCCATGACCCTGGATGGCATTAGCTGGCTTTACGTAAGCAGCCATTTTATTGAAAAATATCATTATCTACCAAAAAGTAACCTTCATTACGGAAGCTAAGCCCTGATTTCTGGAAGATTATGTGACTGGAAACACTTTCAGGGCGGTCTGGACACTTCTCTTTTGCGAGGTTATTTAACTGGGAAGTGGATAAGGATTATATAAATCTGAGCATTACTCTTTATTTGTCCTGGAGTTTTCTGTAAAAAATACAGAACATTTTGAGTCATTAAGGCAGGGTGCAAATCCTTCCTAGTATGACAAATACAATTTAAGGGAAGTTAGATTAATAAAAAGAACTATAAATACATTTGGAAACTTATCTTTTAATAACCCAACACGTTATGATAATTATAGAACTCCAACCGACACGCATTAAAGGCCATATAAAATAGATGATGTATAATTGACATATTGACTTATCATAAAACAGCCATGATTCATCCTTTCCAAACTTCTTCAGCAGCAATGGGAAGCTCATAACCCTTTGACTCATGCACTGCCTTCCTTTTTCCATGCTTGATGAGCTGTTTTTCACCCAAACTAGTAAGTCACACTTGTATCGAAGTTGGCTGTTTTTCAGCAGAAATTCAATCATGTGAAAAGATATCGCCTTGATAAGTACCTGAGTAATACAAACAGCTTTGAAATGTGGTGTCTCAGGTCAAGAGAGGTAACACTCAGCGGCAAAATCCTGCTCACTGCTCCTTTTGGTGCACAAAATGATACTTAGGAAGCAGTCCTGGCTTCCTGTGTGTCTGAAACATTTAGCTGCAGTGTTGTCAGCCGTCTAAACCGGACTAACTCTCTGACAGGTGATGAGAGGCGGCAGCAGCGACGCTAGACTGACAAGCTGTCATGCAATATTTTTCCTCGGATATCATTTTGCAAAAAAAGCTGCTGTCTGCGTTCATCCGCAAGAAATCAGACTCTCCTTTATTTTGGCAGGGAGGGAATGAAATAGTTCACTTCTGTTGCTTTTGTAATCAGGATTTTGATTCCTCTTATTTATTCTGTCATGCCTAGATCATTTGTATTGCCTACCTTACAACAAAACGTTTTCATTGGTGTATTGGAAGTAGATTTTATTACAAATACACTTTTGACGACTTCATGGTATTGCATACTTTGAGGCTGTAAAGAAATGTCGTTCCACCTGTTATTGTCTAATTACTACATTCTCTGTAAATGACCTTTTCACTTGCCTTGTGAATCTTTCAATTGAAAAGCTGCTTATTCTAGTTAACCGTGTAAAAATATGTGATAGAGAAATTGTTATTTGCAACCGCTCGTTCAGGAAAAGCCAACAATGCTGTCTTAATAATGACACTCCTTGAAATTCAAAGAAAACTATAACGTTGTCTCCCTCTTCATCCTCTCCAGGTGCCATCCTGGGACGCTCGGAGACGAAGCAGTGCGCCTACTACAACTCCAACTGGGAAAAGGAGCGAACCAACCGCAGCGGCATCGAGCCTTGCAGGGGCGAGGAAGACAAGCGGCGCCACTGTTTCGCCACGTGGAAAAACGTCTCCGGTGCCGTGGAGGTGGTAAAGCAAGGCTGCTGGCTGGACGACGTCAACTGCTACGACAGGTACGCAGGAAGCAGAACATAAAGAAGTAATACCTGAACAATCGTAGGCTATCCATAGGTCTGTTGAATAACTCGTATTTAAAACCATTTTCAGTGACATTTTTAAAAAAAATGAACGTCACTTGTTCATCGTCAGAATAGACTGGTTTTGACAGCACTGAAGAGTTCCTCAAACGCCTCACATGTGGCTGTCAGGGACTTGCAAATCCTCCTTTTTTGAGAAAATGTGAAAACATAACATCTCTTCTGTTGATTGTGTGTGAAATTTATACCTAGTAACAGTCTTGGTTTAAGGGCTAATTTGCTCTGAAATGTAAGGCATTTGCCCCACAAACGAAATGTATACGTCAAAAATGATTAAACTGAATCCGTGACTGGGTATTTAAACGACTAACGGATGTCAAAAAAAGTGAATTTACAAACATATCAAAGCTCCATCCAGTTTCGCCTCTCTAATCAATGCTTCAAAGCTTTACATGAATTCCAAGCAAGCACGCCATGAAGAGATGTTGACTCTGTAAACAGTTCAAATGAAATTACCAGAGTTTTTGGTTGATTTCCCATCTTTAGGAATTGCCGTGCAGATCTTAACATGATGTATTCCTCCAAACACAGACACAGATATGATATTATTCTAGTTTGTTTCTGGCTCAAACCTCACCCTGGCTTCTGGTTTGAGCCGGTTCTGCTTGTGTTTGATTCGCGAGCGATAAAGTAGATGGTGCAGCCCGCACAGTTTGGGTACCTCTGCTCAGACGGCGCCGCCTCGCCTCCCTGGAGAGTCCAGAGCAAGGCGAGGGCGGCTGCTGCCACTTCCTTTGGCTTTTATCTGATGACTGTGTGAGTGTGAAGCAGAGAGAGTGTGAGATTGTAAGTGTACACGTGTGTGTCTCTTTGCATGTGTGTTGCCGTGTGTAGGAGTCACTTAATAAATGTTTTCCTTTCATGTCTTCCGAGAGGCAGGAGGGGAGTGTGTGTATGGGCCTCGTAAAGCATCTGCAGGGAGAAGTGTGCGAGCACATCAGCGTGCAGTTGATGAGTTTGCGCGTGCACTCCCTGGCACTTAAATAAAATAAATTGCTTCCCTGTCCTCTGTAATCGTGCAGAGAGGAGGGGATCGTTGAGTTCCTTGTTTTCTAATTCCCACCTCCATGTCTTCCGCAGTAGCGAGTGTTTGGAGAAGAAGGAGAGCCCTGACGTCTTCTTCTGCTGCTGTGAAGGCAACATGTGCAACGAGAAGTTCCTGTACGCCCCTGAAGTGCCCCAACCGGGAGCACCGCATCATTCTACCGCCTACAGTATGTACACTTCAACACACACACACTCTACACACTAGGGTTGTGTTGCTGCCTAACCTAAAGTGGATTTTGTTGGAGGTGAAAAGTCAACTTTCTTCTATTATATGAGTATTTCTGCTTACACCAGGGTTTATGAGCAGAAACACCTACGAACAGTAGCAGGGAGAATAAGATTTTTAAAATATCGTGTTACCTCTACACATGTGTAGTTATATGAAATTAAACATGAGAATTATTATACTATACAAACTTCAGCGGTGTCAAATTGATAAACAAAAATATAACTGACTTACAAATTATATATAAACAAATGATCTACTTAATTACACATCCGAAAAGGGGTGGGAAGAAGTTTCCACTTATTTAATCCCACCCCAATTATTAACATATATATTAATTTTTTTAACACATAAAAGAAAGAAAAAAAGTAAAAACACTGATTGAAATTAATTTTAAGAAAACTATAATAACATTAAAAAATAATAAAACATATAGTAGTATTTACATTGAAATAGAATGGAATAAAATATGTGCAGTAATAACAAAAAAAATCCTCCAAAAAGGGTGTAATGTAAGTACAAAGCTGATCTCCAGGGAACACAGGTGTGGCTTTTTGAAAAGCAAAATGATGTAGCCCGTTATACTCTGTGCGCTCACAAAGCGGTGACAGTTTGGTGTCCTTGAACTCATCACCTCGCTGCTGAAGGCGCGTCTGTCTTTTCCTATTCCTTTAAATGTGACTCTGTGAAACCTGCAGACACCCTGTAGAGAAAAAAGCTTTCTGACAATCGCCCTGAGCGTCCCACCATGCAGCTGGTGCTACCCCGTCGGTCCCAACTTGTTCTCTCACCCCCTTCACCCCCCACCCCGCGGATGGCGTCCGGGCGTCGGCGCTCTGACAGGGGCTGCCCAATCAGACGCTCACACCTTGTGATGGCAGCACGGGCTGAGCCAGCAGGCGTCACCCTGCAGGGGTCACACACAGTTCGCAGCTCTGTTATTTTTGGAAGGGCGGATTACGTTATGTCACGAGATGGATTTGCTAATCCTGGTGTGTGTGTGTGTGTGTGTGTGTGTGTGTGTGTGTGTGTGTGTGTGTGTGTGTGTGTGTGTGTGTGTGTGTGTGTGTGTGTGTGTGTGTGTGTGTGTGTGTGAGATATGACTCCTAAGCACACAGGCTGTAAGCAGGGTTGATACTGCACTTAGAGATGATGCAGCACAATGTCAAACCAATCAGGCAGCTGTGGAACAAGTACACAGATTATTTGTAGCCATACCAAAGAGTAAAAATACTCTATTGCAAGTTAAAGTCCTGCATTCAAAATCTTACTTAAAGTGGACCTATCATGCTATATTTGAACAATATATTGTAGGGTCATACCTATACAAAGTATATAAATATTGTTTTTTTTTCAAAATACCAAACAGATCCTGCATTTTAGCCATGCCTCATTTCGCTCCATTTGCTCTTTCCGGCC